ATGAGAGAAACCATCAGGTATTTTTCCTTTTCTTTCTGGCTTATTTCACTAAGCATGATCTTTTCCAGCTCCATCCATGTTGCTGCAAAAGACATCTGTTTCCTTTTTTTGGTTGCTGAGTAATATTCTATTGTCTATATGTACCACATCTTTTTAATCCAGTCATCCATTTTTTGGGCATTTGGCCTAGCCCCATTTATTAAGGAGACTGTCTTTTCTCCATTTTATGGTTATGGATGTTTTATTATAGGTTCATTATTGGCAGATGTGTAGATTTATTGCCAGAATTTTTATTTTGTTCTATTGTTTCATAATCTGTTTTTGTGCCTCTTCCATACTGGTTTTGATACTATTGCTTTATATTAACGTTTGAAGCTAGATAAAGGGACACCTCCACTCTACTTTTGTCTTAGGGTTGCTTTTGCAATTCAAGGCCTTATGTTCTTTTGTGGTTTCACTTAAAAAATATTTATATTTTGGTTCTGTTTCTTGAACATATTGGAGGAATTTTAATGAAGGTTGTATTAAATTTTTATATCACTTAGGCAAGATTGTAATTATATTGGTTTTCCCCATGAATAAGGATGGGGTAGCCTTTCACCTCCTTATTTTGCTCTCCACGTCCTTATGTCATCTTGTAATTCTCCTAGCATAAGACTTTTACCTCTTCCTAGGTTGGTTCTGAGATAAATTTTTTTAATCAGTTATAAGTAGTTATTTTCTTAATTTCTCTTACTTTTTATTCATTGTTTGTATATAAAAAAGCAACGGGTTTTTGTATGTCTGGTAACTTGCCACTTTACTGTATTCATTTGTTTCCAGTGACATTTTGTATCTTTAGGATCTTCTATGTGTAATATCATATTGTCTGTAAATAGCGATAGTTCCACTTCTTTTTCTAGTTAGAGAGTCCTTTTTATTTTCTGTATTTGTCTGATAACTCTGACCAAAACTGCTAATACTAAGTTAAATAGAAGTGGTGAAAATGGAAATCCTTCTCTTGTATGGTAGAATACTTCAATGGAGAAAGTTTTCAGTTACTCATTGAGTATTTTGACTGTTACTTTGTGATATATGACCTTTATTATACTTAGGTAGGCACTGTCTACTCCCATCTTGTTTACAGTTTTTATCATAAATGGGTATGAATCTTATCAACTGCTTTGTCTGCATCTAATATTTTCATATGACTTTTATCTTTACTTTTACTTTTGTTGATAAGGTGCATTATATTGATTGATTATGTACGTTTAGTCATTCAGCCATTCATCCTTGACATGAATCCTAGTTGATCCTGCTGTGTAATCCTTGTGACATACTTTGAATTTGATTTGTTGCATTCAATAATCACTTTGGTTGCCTACAACCTCTTAGAGACAGGTGATTACTCAACAAATAGATAAAAGCTTTAGATGATGAAATCTTGTAAATAGACTTAGTCTGGTTTCTAATCCTACACACTTGATTCTGGTTGCAGCTACATCATGCTGATGACAGCTTCCTGGTCCTCACTACAGATGGAATTAACTTCATGGTGAATAGTCAAGAGATTTGTGACTTTGTGAATCAATGTCACGATCCCAATGAAGCAGCCCATGCAGTGACCGAACAGGTGACACAGCAGAGCTTGTACTAGTTGAGGGTGAGGGTAAGGGGCAGGGGAGGAGACAAGCTCAAGTGCAGGTTTTGGTGAATTTACCACTCCAGGCTTGAGATTCTTTGAAATCCTGTATTTTTGCTTCAGTATTATGGTGAATTTTATACTTGACTCCATTATATTTCCAATTAAATTTTTTTTTACAATTTCCCCAAATAGCTAAGTAAAATTAATAGGCCAAGGAAATAATTTACTGTGTTAATTTTTTGGCTTTGTATCATACTAAAATGATAATAACAGTAATAGTAAATTATAGTAATAGCAAATACTAATACCACTTTCTATGTGTCCGATACCCTATTCATTTACACTAACTCATGTAATCGATACCATAATCTTCTGGACTTGGAGATATTATTATTATCATCCATTTCTCACAGAGAGGAAACTGAGGCACAGATGTTCAGAAGTTAGGTAACTTATCCAAGATCTGTCAAAATTATGAAATAATACATGAAATTGAAGTTGAAGCTGGCTTCAAACCAGTAGTCACGCATCCAGGTCTAACCACTTGCCATGAAGTTAGACTGCTACAAGTAAATATCCAATATAGGAACACTGTATCCTGGTCAACTGCTGGTTTAATAAAAATAAGTGTATGAAAAGAACAAATACAAAAGGTGTGTGGATGAGTTGTGTCAGCCAGAGGTAAAATTTAGAAGCTGCACAGTGCGTTGCATAGAAATTGTAAAATGTCTAATTATTCAATATGCTGTTTGGATAGAAAGCTTTTTTAAGTTTTAGACATCACTGATGATTAGAAACACACTTTAATTCAATAGCTGTATTGGAATTATTATATTTTCAATGGGAGAGCTAATAGGTGCTAATATTTATAATTAAAACATAAGCTCCTACTAGGAATACATTATTTGCTTGACAGTTCAATCATTCACTTGGCTATTAAGTGTGCTCATGAGATTAAGGAAATATGCCCAATTCTATGAATAATTTCCTTATTTCTACTGCCTATCATGAGATTTGTGTATTTTAACTCATGAAGACAGTGTTATTTATAACAAATGCATAACATTCCACTATATTTGCATCCATTAAACAGTTCCTCAAATCAGCACAGTTAACTTATGTTCACTTTTCCATTTTATGAGGGGAGTATTATATTCTTTTACTTCCTTCAGAATATTTTCTTTGGTTATATTCTTAGAAGTTGTGTAAAACAATACATAGTTTTCTATAGTTTTTAAGTTTGCCAACTTGTCCTCAGAAAAAGTAGTCTATTTATACTTTTCACTAATAGGCCTTCCCAAATTCTTATAAGAATTTTTACAACTATTTGTGGAAAATCACATTTTAGCATTTAAATTAGCTCCTTTTTTTTTTTCTCTTACTGGAGCCAACCAGTTGCAGGTGTTTACTGTGTTTCTTGACTGAGTAACTTCTTCCCTATTTGCTCATTGCCATATAGACATGTTGGTCTCTTTTGGAAAGTTGTAATAACTAAAAAGTACATTAGTACTTTATGTTGTAATTTTTGCAACATTTTATATCAGATTTTTTTTAAAAGATTTATTTATTTGTGCATACAGACTGGGGTACAGACCAGAGGCTCGGGGGGGCAAGAGGCTTCACCAGAGACAGAGTGGGGAGCAGAACAGGCAGAATAACGAAGTACACTGCTGAGGGGAGCAGCGGGGGGGTCAGGAGAGGTCTGCCACACCATGTGGTCACCTCCGTGGCAGGCAGGAATCGAACTCTTGCGGAAGCGGCTTTAGATTCAGATTTTTAAAATCAACCCTTACTACATCACAGTGATTTCTCTTTGTATAGATCTGATTTCCTGTGTTTTTCTCTTCCTTCCTGTTAAACGTCATAGGCAATACAGTATGGTACTGAAGATAACAGTACTGCCGTAGTAGTGCCTTTTGGTGCTTGGGGAAAATACAAGAACTCTGAAATCAACTTCTCATTCAGCAGAAGCTTTGCCTCCAGTGGACGATGGGCTTGACCACTTGAGGAAACTTTGAATTTCTGTACAAGTTTTCCATAGCAAGAAACGGATTATGTCGTACCAGTCAACTGTGCCAGAGTGACCTAGTAACTTAATAGATTAGTGCACGAATTGGTGTATGTAAACTTAGCCATTTTCAAGTTGTTTCTCACCTGTCATATTTTATCTTCAACTGTACATATAAATATATGTATAATTCAGTTATTGTGAGTCTCTTAGATGAGCAAATGAAAAGTGGTTTGATACACTTGCTGAGTGTTTCTCATTTTTAAAACTCTTAGGCAGCTATGGGTTTCTTTCAGTCATTTTTGTTCTCTATTAGTTTGAAAAGATTTTTGTCTTCAAGTTCTCCAGAACTAGTCAGTATTTTGACAGTGACACTATGTATCTGCAACTGTTCATTTTAAATAACTGTACCAAGGAGTAAGTGTGAAATCCAGTTCTTTTATCATGCTTTGCATTCTTTATTACTTACTTGTAAATGTTACAACAGAAAAGAAGTTCATTGACATAACATGACACTACTAAATTGTAAACATATTTATAAACAGTGCACTGTGTATTTTGACTGTGTCACTAGGCTCATTCTTCCTACCCCTCTGTATTCCCATTTTCTGTAGCTAAGAGACTGTAGATGTGACTGTTCCTTCATATTAAAAAAAAAAAAAAGCACAGCCTAAGAGTCCTTTAAGTCAGTTAAATACTAGCATAGACATGTTTTATATAAAGTTTCTATTTGTTACTGCTAATCCTATTTTGTGCTAGGTATGTAGTATATTTATATCACTTTTTGCATAGATTAAGCAAATTGGATAATTTGTTAGTAAAATAACACTGCACTGATGTTGCTACAAATCTACCTTTAGAGTTATGTCTCCTTTTTGCTAATCTTCTAAGATTCATAAGAAAGACTAAATCTAAAACATCCAAATTTCAACATGTTATATAATTTGGGAGCATAAAACTACTTCATCTTATCTGCATGTACATTGCCTGTTAAAATGTGGATCTCTGAATGTGTATTTGGAATTATATCTGCAATTTCTGAAGGCAATGTAAATTCGTTACATGTTGGGTGGTGTACATGTGTGTATTTTGGAGTAATAGAAAATTAAAGGGAATAATACGGCATAGATTCTTCAACAGTTAGCTTAAAATTGCTGATATGTTTATCCCTAAGGATTTTTGACAAACTTAGAGCTGTTTTCTTAAAGCAGAGAATGAATGGTTATTGAAAGATGAGGAAATAGGTTAAAAATAACTGTAGGAGATGATTTATGATGGGTACATTACATGGAAAACCCAGGAGTAGAATAAGCATGTGAAACTATGTTGCTATAGATAATGTGCATATTAATATTAAAAATACAAGATTGAGAAAAATATTGGTTGTGAAGGACATGGAATATTATCATAGAAACAAAAAGAAATCAAAAAGATAAATTTGGTGTAGCCTATGCCTTCAGCACTTAGTTTTCAGGGTTGATTTTTGCTTTTACGTTTTATTTAAAGGCTTCTTAGAAGAAAGAGGGACCAGTATAAATAGTCACATCTTCTTGCTTTTGGGGAATGGAAGAAAAGACATCTTGAGCTTTCGCGCTATATTAATCAAGAATTGTCCTTTGAAAAGCAAGTAAATGAATGTGTCAATATCTTTTTCATGGAAATTTGTTGAAAGAAAATAATATTACAAGAAAGAATATAGTCTCCTACTTGTTGTCTAAGAAGTGAGGAACCAAAGGTAAGCTATACCAGAGCTGGAAATTTGCTGCTGTTTCTGAGTCTAGCTTTGGAGCATTAATATGGAAGCTACATTGAGAGCATGGAGAATGTTTTAATAAGCAAGTGAAACTCTGAAGTACAAAATGACATTTTAAAGATGTAATTTCCATTTTTGTTTTGAATTGTTCACATTATTTGTCTTTTGTCTTTTTCTTTAAAAACTAAGGGTGGAAGTGATGTTGAGTTCAGATGTCTGTCATCAATGTACTGAGGTGCACTGCCATGTTTGATGAGGAGGAATTGTGTAGGGAATGTAGAATGTTGTAGGTCTTGGTCTGGGCTGGAGTTTGTTCTTTCTCACCTATAAACTTTAAACCTTAACCAGTCAATTTTGATGAAAGCATAAAATATGCTTGTTTTTCAAGCACCAGAGGCAAAGTATAACATGTAGATTATTATCATCCAAAAAAAGGTCTATTTACTGGGAAATTTTGGAATACACAAATAACTAGTGAAAAAAGGACTGTTCTAAATACAGTTTTAAAATTATATCTGAATTTGCCAAGTGCCTATTACTATATGGTGTAGGTATGGTATAAAGTATATTAGTATAAATAAATTTAAATCAATTGTATTTATGTTTGCCCTTTATTGATATGTGGTATTTAAATCACCTTCTAAAATGCATCATCAAACTTTGCCAACCTTTATTCCATAAGAAGTTCTTAAGAGCATGAGTTTTAGCAAGTATAAGTCTCCAAGCCCCTTATATATTCAAAAGTAAATGCAAGACTGTTCCCATCAACTCTTACAGACTTTGTGCTTCACAGTCTTACATAATTTTCCCAGGAAAAATATTCTGGAGGGGTCAGTTTTAAATCTCGATGCTTTATAATGTGAATGTTTATCAAGGTCCAGCATAAAAAACTACTATTTGAAGAATGAGCATATAATCTAAATAGTGTTTTGTCAAAGTGGAATTTGATTTTTTTGAATCTTGGCAGGGAATGTGTAGGTCTATGCTATGTCAACTCTTCAATCATCAGGCCAGAGAAAACATTTAGTTCCCCTTCTAAAATGGATAAAGATTTAATTTTGTGGTAATAATCATAAGATGGGGCCAGGGTGAGGAATAGTTAAACATTCAGCATCAAACAATGAAACATATTTTCCATTAGCACTTCAATTGTTAACATACCCAGGTCTGTGAGAAGGGATAAAATTTTGCTGGGGTTACATTTTATTGAGTCTACTACATTAATGTATCTGGATGGCTTAAGTAGAAAGGGAAAGTCTTGTTTTTACAAGTCAAATGGTGATGGACTGCCTATTGCTTTGGGCATCGGGAATGAGAGTGACTGGCTCTCTGGCAGCTCCCATTAGTTGTTATATGGTTAAGAGGGTCCACTGATGTCATACTGAGTGTTCTGGTTTTGAAATCATGGAGTTCGTCCATCTCCAGGAATGGCTAATTGGCCATTGGATTCCAGTACAGATTTTAGCAGTTTGGTGTGTATCAAGTTAATTTCTACCAAAGTGTTCTTGTGTACATGTACTTTATAATTTGCCAAAGTACTACTTGGGTATATACTACTTCTTGTAGTAAGCTGGTATGATTGCTGCTTTGATGATTATTTTAAATGTATATATTAGATTTACTGTGAATGGACTATGATGACCTATTTCAGTGTTCAAAACAACATTTTAATAAAATATATATGTGTTAAACTATTTAAAATCCAATTGTGTTTATTTGGCATTAAGTCTTTCTGACAGTATGTGACCCTGTGAACATAGATATAAAAGAATTAATGAGTGATTGGAAGTTTTTTTAGTAGCCAAGTTTCTGGCTGTTTGCAATTCAAGGTGAAGAATCTCTGAAAAAAGTATATACAGTTACCTCGGGCCTCCCAGGTCACTCAGGAATTAACTACTTAAAGTTATTAAATTATCACCAGTTCCATCCCTGGCCAAGGAGGTGACTCTCCTGTCTCACCTCTGCTTCCCCTCAGCAGTGTATTTCAGTAGATTTGCCTGTTCTGCTCCCCACTCTATCTCTGGTAAATCCTCTTCCTCCCCACCTACCCCCATCTCTGGCCTATACCCCAATTCTTACATGCACAAATAACTAAAAATAAAGTATGTACACTTGTCTATTAGAATACTTCTGCTTTGATCTAAGATGGGGTAAAGGGCAGTTGGGTAACCAAAAGTTCAGCGTCAAATAGTTAAACATGTATTTTCTTTCAAAATAACTGGAACATCATATAAAAGTTGTTATGATGATTTCTATAATATGTCACCTATGGTATATTTCAGTACAGCATCTTCATTTATTAAAAATTAGAAATAGCTATTTAGTTGTAATACTACAGAACTTAGTGTTAATATATTTAACATATTTTTTAAGAGATTTGTTTATTTGTGCATACAGAACTGGGGTAAAGGTCAGAGGTGCAGGGGCTGCAAGAGGATTCACCATAGAGAGAGTGGGAAGCAGAACAGGCAGATCAATGAAGTACACTGCTGAGGGGAGCAGCAGGCCCGTCAGGAGAGGGCTGCCCTGCAGCAGTGTGAATCACCTCCTGGGGCAGGCAGGGATCAATCTCGTGAGGAAGTGGCTTTAGCTTCTTAGTGCTGCGCTTTAACCTCTGCTGTGCTTTAACCCACTATGGCACCTGGGAGGGCCTATTTAACATTTTTTAAAGACATAGCAATTTTAAATTTCCTATCATTGATTGCATAAGATGTAATCATTATAATCCATTGGCATAAGGATTTCTTCTAGAATTTATCACCTGAAATTAACTTGGTAAACTTCATTGTTTTGTCCAATTTTCATCTGTTCAATTTGTTCAATTCCATACTTCACACTTTTTATATGTTTAGCAATGAGGAGAAGGTGTTGGATTGTTAATCATTAAAATCTGTTGAACAAATAAGTTTATGCATTAAATTATTTTAATTAACTTCACGTTAGAGATGTGACCACTAGATAATCTTAAATATTAAGTCAAACATAGTATTTGATTGTGAAGGAGTGATAATCTCTTAACATTTTCTTAGACACTGATAATCTCTTGGTAAAGGATAGTATTAATGTGATTCAGAATTTTGTTCTGAATAAATGTGGAAGAGTAGTGCTTGCTTTTTTAGAAGGTGAAGAGGAGAAAATGAATATTAGGGTTCTCATGTATTATACTTGTTCCCATACATTATATTATTCTTCCCAACAACCATGGAGTAAATTTTTTTTTATGTGATCAAAAGGATTCTGTGAACAGTGAATAATAACAATATTTATCCCAGAAGTTTCTGATTTCAAACTATGTCCTTTATATGATAACAATATTTATTCCAGAAGCCTTTGACTTCAAGCTATGTCCTTCATATGGTAACATTACATAATATGTAATAGGTTACATATTAACAAATTGAAAACAATTTGCTAATCAAACATGAACATTCATGTACAGAAATTTCTCTAGTGGACATGAGAAATAATTGCACAGACATGATCCAAAGACTTAGTAAACAGATGAAAATATTATAGGTGTGAAAATAAACTAGGGTAGAAAAATAGATTATGTACAAACCAAATGATTATAACTAGTGAGCAATTATAGATGAATGAGCATAATTTCTGCATTTAACAGTACAGGACTTAGGTGATCATAGAGAAACCCCAAAAGTCAGGTTACCAGTGACAAACATTTATGAGAACCTACTGCATGTGTCTCTAAATGACATCAGTCTGGGTCTACCAAGATTTGGGAGAAGTAGTGATTGATTATCTCCTCTGAAGAAATTTGTCAGGAGACAGAGGTGAGGAAAGTGAGTTTACCAGAAAGAAAGATAGCACTGTTCATCTGAACAGGTGAATAATATTTGGAGGCAAGAGAGCTCTATTGGTGAAGTCAGAAAGCTGGAATAATTGAAATAAACTACTGAGGGGAGCAGTGGGTGAGACTGGAGAGGT